AAAGGCGAAACAACGCGAATTTAACGCCGCATTCTCAACGAACGATGGGAAGAGAAAAAAAAAAAAAAAATGAAGGAACGTGGTAATTCAACGAGTCGGATAGCGAATTAGTAGCACCGGTCTACGCACCTTTCATCGGCTGGAAGTGGCTGCCGCTTGAACCGGATACGTAGGTTATGCGTCCCTGACCTAGGATGTCTTGATATTACACCGAAAGGGGGAGGGAGAGAAAAAAAAATATATATATATATATGTAAGAAAGGAGGGGGGAAGAAGGAGGAATAGAACAGAGGGTAAACGAGGATGGAAGGGGAACGAAGGGAGACGGTTCGTGGTTACGCATCGCCGGTGAAATCGTCACGAACAAAGAGCACGAACAAAAGTTGAGAACAAAAGAGCTTGGAGAAATGAAATTTAAGTTATATCTGCTGATTTAAATTTCCTTTTTTTTTTCAGATATCGAGGATACAGGAGAGAGATCGTGCAATTAGACGGAGATAGCGGAAAGAATCTTGGCTGATCATAAAATTCTATTCGAGATATGGTTAAAGGAACATTGTTTGGAACAATTTGAAAATAATTTTGAGGAATTTTGCGTACAAAGCTGTTGATATATTTATCGAGCGAAATCAAACACGAGAGTTTTTTTACAAAAATGAGGCTTCGATTGAGGCTTATTTATCAAGTTATTTATCAATTATATGTTTGCTTATAAGTGAAACAAAATGAGTAATATATAGGAAATAGAAATGATTTCGATATGAAATTACTTATATTTTAATAAACAAGTCTTAACCGATCTTTTTGTGTATCAATTTTTGTATTTATTTGAATCGATCTACAAAAGATATTTCACGTATATATATTAAAACTCTGTGTACAATGTCTTGCTCGAATGGAAAACACGGAGAATCGATAAAAATACCGGGGCGGGCAATTTAAATGTCGGTGGCTCGACACCGTTGTTTGTCCGGTAAGAAAGACCGAGTGAAACGAAAGTATTATAGAAAGTAAATAACTCGATCGCTTGGAATACATTTTTCTTATTTAGTAATGATATAAAATTTAAAAAAAAAAAAAAAAGAAATGCTTCAAACACGCATCATACGCGATTCCACTTTTTATCGATCTACATCTAACATCTCTCTCCTCGAGTCCATTTACATCTTTCATTTTTTTTATCTTTTTTTCTTCAATCCTTTATTGAAAACAGAAGTAAGATATTCCAGCTGATGATCGATTTATTCGATCCACGGTGTACACACCTACGCTCGAACTTATATATACGTAGCCATAAAACGTAGCCGTGCAAATTCGTGCATTCGAGAGAGTTTGACGCGCCGTGGTAAAAATTACTCCACCACCGCACAGCTACGTGATGAAAATCCGCAACAAGGCCTACCTAGAGACAGGCATACGTAGAGGGAATAGGCCGTTCGAGAAGAAAAAGATAAAGGAGCGGAGACGGGTAGAAAGAGAGAGAGAGAGAAAGAGATAGAGGAAGAAAGATGGAGGAAGGGAGAGGGAAAGAGAGAGAGAGAGATACAGAAGCCCGTGGCCACGAGGATGCGGCAGCGTTTTAAAATCGAACGGAAATCCAGTCGAGCCGCGTCCACCGCCATTGCAGCGGTTGCTAATAATAGAGTAGATACTGGAAGGATAGAAATACGACTTCCTCCGCCACTCTGTACCCTACTGCGTCCCAAGAATAACGGGCTCTCGTTCGATACGAGCAGCGAAAATAAGGGGTCAGGGGCGGCAACCTAATTCAAACATTCGATACAGTTAACAACGAGACGAGAAGCCACGCGATTGCACACGGGTTCTTGAGGATAGGATTTATTTAGAGATTCTCTTTTTTTTTACAATTCCATTTATTTCACGAATAATTATCAACAGTGAGAACAAATGAGAGGTAATTTTACTCGCTGTTAGATTAAATTTAAAATTTTCTATTTTGCTCTTGTCATTTTTTTTTTCTTGCAAGAAGAACTTTGAACCGCTATTAAATTCATTTGTTACTTTTTTTTTTTTTTTTGTAATCTTTATTCGCAATAATATATCTTGCAGTGTAAGGGAGAATCCACTTGTTTACACTTTCGCAGAAAATTCATTCACTTAATCGCGATGATAATTCTGTTCGAGCGAGTGACTGTGAAAGCGTATCCTAAACGCGAGGGATCTCCTTAAAAGGCTCGATATCAAAGATACCTACTAACTAGTTAGGATTCCATGCCCCATACGTAAACTGAAACAGACTACTTTCACACAATAGACTTTCAGAGAGAAAACATTCTCTGGATTGGATAACTTCCAAACTTAAAGTAATGATTAAACTTTCGCGATCTCGAGTTACGCATAACTATTATGCATAAACAGCTATTCATCATTAATATTATACATATATTAACTGTTTAATTTATTCCTAAATCATTTTTATTTCCAATTCAAAATATAAAACAACAATTCAAACAAACAAGATAAGTATCATCACTTTCTTCTTTTTTTTTTTTTTTTTACTAAAAATATTATAAGAAAATCATCTTTTCTTTACATTAAAACAATATAAAAATTCACGATAAATATGAATCATTACGTTTCCAAAATTCTACGTCCATTTCAATATTCTGCCAAAAAGTTGTTTTAAAAAAAAAAATTATTTTAAATACAAAAATTAGAACATCGCCATAATGCCATCTTTTATTAAATTCTGAATTGAATAATTTAGAATAACCGAAAGAATTATTTCGCCTTCTACGAGATACCAATTCGATTAACAATTGCACTTTCTGTTGCCTGTAAATTGGGTTAGAGAACATTAGCGGTGAATCAACCCTGCCACTAAACAGCACGTGTCCCTTATCTTGTCCAACAAGCGCAACGGCGGGGTATCGCTCGACCCGTGAAGCGTGTGAACTCGTAAAATCAGTGATCCCAAAGCTGTATCATCGATATATCCGATCGTTAAATCATTGCCGTTCAGAGTTTCCTCTCTCTTTCTCTCGCGTTAAAATGCTGCAAAATGTTGAGATTCGTCACTCGATTAATCGCTGTTCGAATTTAATTAATGACGAGTCTAGACAGGTGGTATAGGTTATTAATAATGCGATATTGGCGCGGAGAATGGATAATTATTGCGAGTTCGAAATTATTTATTCATTTATGAAAATTTTAAAAGTGAGAGTGTACGATAAATTATATTTGAGGCGAGGTATTTCATATTGTAATGCATTTATGAAATGCATGTGTAGTTTTTATCTCTTTAGAAATGAGAAGAAAATTGTAAAAAATTGAATAACGATATTCGTTTTCGATGAACGAACGATTGTAAAATAGAACTTTATTTTTATGGTAAGATGTTATTTTTAATCAATAATCGTTAATAATTTTGTTGTAGTATTTAAAATAGTGTTTAAAATAGTTTAAATAAAAGAAAAGTGAAATAATAAAATAATATTGATATAGAAAAAAAGATAAGTAGATATTCTCCACATTTAAGTCGAAAAAACCTATTAAATCAATATATACTTTCTATTACGGCTATAAATATAATAGTATAGAATATTCTCCGATATTATTATTAAACATTACAATATTTTTTTATACTCTGTCAATTTAAGTTATTACTTTTGAAATAAAAATCAGAAAACAAAGTAATGAATATATTTTACAATTTTAATGATATACATTTTACAATTTTAAAGAAATATTTATTTCTTTATTATTAAAGAATTATTATTAAAGAATATTTCTTTATTATTATTATTCTTCTTTATTAAAGAAATAAACTATTCAAATTTCTCAAAAATTTGATTTGACAAAGAAAATTCAATACATTGTTATTAATATTATTTTCAAATTTTTATTGCTTTCTTAATTGTAATTTTCTTAGTTAGTTTATTTCCTAACTCGATAATATCAATTTTCTTTAACAATCAACTTAATAAAATTTGAAAGCTTCAACGAGATCGATAAACCGTGATATCAATTATGTAAATGCAACGCGGGGATCGAAACACAGGTTCGTTGGCCGGCAGAAAATTGAAAAGCAAAAGCATGGGTCGCTTGATTTATCGACCGCATATTCCAAACTGACTGAAAATATTTCCTCGGAGAAATTTCCTCTTAGCGGAAGTGTATTGGCCTCGTACTATCAGTTCCATCTCAATATTTTCGTTTTTGTGGACGAAATTTTGTATCAACAAATATCTTCCATACCAATTTTCAAATAACAAAAAAATATATTGCCGATTTTATCAAATTTCGTTCATTTTATTAACGTAACGTTGTAAATATTATATTCTAATACAATAAGCTATTACTTATTATCTTTTAATACTTGAATAACATCACATTTATAAAAGTCTGAAAGAATCAGAAACGTCTATGTCACCAGGATAATTTTAATCTATAATTAGACAGCGAATTTTTATGCAAATACTTGATCTCATAAACGTTATAATAAAGTTGCATTTGATTTTTAATGAATTAAATACAATCATAAAAATAAATCGAAAGTATATCATTTACAAATATGATCACGTGGCTCCATCTGCCGATAAGCGAAGAAACTATATATATATTTCAAATACATTTTAACGTATAAAATTAATTGAGAAAAAATTTTAACGTATTTCAAATTTCCATAAATACACAAAAATCCTCGATCTACGATATTTCCTTCTCTTCCCTAAATCCATTTATTTTATTTGTTGCGCTCAATCGAATTATCAAGGATCAAACGAATTATATCAAATCTCAAGCAAAGGAACGATCATTTCATCGCATCGTTTCTAAACAGAAACGAATATCCTTCCATCCTCGTTTCCCTCGAAATCGGAAACCTTTCTTGGATAAGGTTATCCTCTTCGAATAACCGATAAACGCGGGGAGATGCATAAAGATGAGAAGATTATAACGGTAATATCGAAGGCGATAAAGGAGGGCGCGAAATTCTCTCCTCCTCCAACTACACCCCTCCCCCCCACGGCAGCACTTACCTCTTCTACGAAACATCTTTGCTGCTGCATATTGGTCCAGCACACTTTGCACTGGCACACGTCCTTCTCTTTGAAATTCTCTGCCCTCTCCCTGTCACGGGTTGCGGTCACCTGAGGCGGCGGAGGCGGGACAGGCGGCGGAAGCGGGCTAGTCGCGACCTCGAGGCTATCCGAGCTAGAGTTATGGCGCCGCGGCGGAGTGATGTTCGTCACGTTCGCGTTCCCCTGCGAGACCTGGTGTTTCACCTGGTCGGCCGATCTACCCGCCGCCGAGTGTAGCAGATCGTTGCCATTACTGCCACACGTAGACTTCGACGCGGCGTGCGACGGTGACAGATAAACGTTCAGCATACACTTGTTGTTATTGTTGTTGTTACTCTGTTGGGGCTGGGGCCGCAGGAAATCGTCGAGAAGATAAAAGCTTTGAGCCCGGTTCGATCTCGCCGTTGTCGTCGTCGAAGCCGTGCTACGCGTACCGCTCTCGTTAACTGCCTGCTGCTCTCGTTGCTGCTGCTGCTGCTGCTGCTCAGTTTTACAGATACTCTCCCGATTCGCGCGGCCCCTGCACTCCTCGTCGAACTGGTGTCTCGCCTGCTGCACGTGTCTCTCCTCCACCGTGTCCCTGTCCAAGCAATCCTCCTGGTACAACCTGCGGCTCACCTTCGATCTCCCCCCCGCCTGGCCGAACTCCGACCCGCCGTTCTCCCTGTAAATGTCCCGGCTCACGCGGGACACGCGAGCCGAATACGAGGTGGGCTGTTGGTAACGCGTCGACTTGCAAGCTGAGCCGCGCGCCGAGTCCTCCCTGAAGTGGTCGCCCTCGATCATCGAGACGCTCATGTTGTGGGACAAGGAGTGTTGGACGGCGTGCGAGGCGGGCGTGGTGGCGGTCGGGGCCCTTAACAGGGCGCCGAGGGACCGCCATTTCCTGTCCTGTTGACCCGAGTTCGAGTTCGACGAGACGGACGATCTCGTGGTGGTCCACTTCCTCTCGTTACCCGGCGACGTCAAAGGGTTATTACCGTTGTTGTTGTTGTTGTTGCTGTTGTTGCCCACGGACCATTTCCGATCGTTGGTGGGCGAGGTGACCACCGAGGGCCACTTTCTTTCGTTCGAGGGTGACGCCATCGAGGTGCTCGACCACTTTCGCTCGGAAGAGGTCAACGCCACGCCTGTAGTCGAGGCGAACGAGCGATGATCCGCGGCGTTCAGCTGATCCTCCCGTTGCCTGGCCTTCCACCAGGACGAAGTCGAGGTGAACAGTATGAGGGCGCCTCTGAGCGGGTTCTGATTCTTCGAATTCGTCGCACCCTTGGGCGAGTGTTCCCTGTTATCCTTGATCTTGAGGGACGGGTCCCTGTAATTGGCGTCGCACTCGCGGTCGCTGAATGCCGACGCGTCCCTATCCCATATAGCGTTCTTCTGGGCGGCCAATTCCTCCTCGTAGTGGAGTGTCGCGTTCGTGCTACGCAGACGTGGGCGTAACTTCACGAAACCGTAATCGTTGCCGGCGTCTTGTACGGCTTCCAACGCCTCGATGCGATGTTGAACGGTCCCCGTCGACTGTTGGAGGAGGGACGACGCGGCCTGGCCGGGCGTGTATTGGTGATGGCTGTTGCTCAGCTGGAGGCTCGGCTGTTGGAGAAGCGTCGAGGTCCTCGCCCTGTGCCCCTCGCTCGCGGTACCGCGTTGCAAACAGGAGAAACTCGCCGAGTGTCGCAGGCTCGAGGGTGGATTTCCCGGTTGACTCACTCCCAACATCTTGCCTCTCTTTGATATTCAGTCTTTTTGATCTCGAGCAGCGGTGGACAGAGAGAGAGAGAGAGAGAGGATCGAACGGAGAGAGAAAAAGAGAGAGAGAGAGATATACTTTTTTCCCTTCTTTCTTCTCTTTGCTCTTTTTTTTTCTTTTTTTTTTTTTTTTTTTTCGTCAGTCTCAGGATGGAACTGGGGACGGAACGATTTTTTTTTAATCGAGCGTCGTTATTACTCTGGCAGTGATAATCCTTTTGGTCTCGATTTTTTTATTCTCTAACGCGCTACGAATCGAATCGCCTCGAGGTGCAACAAACAACTTCTCGTTTGTTCGTGTACGTTGTTCGTTCGTGTACATCCTCTCGATGCTATTCTCGTGAATCGGCAGCCGCCGCACGGCTACATCATCCTCGTCGCTCTCGGTGCCTTTCGTACCGTGCAACGACGGTTCGTACGAAATCTGAAACAGAAAGTAGGAACAGGATAGGGGCTAGCAACTCAAAAGAAAAAGAAAAAAAAAAAAAGAAAGAAAGAAAAGAAAAGAAAAAAAAAAAAAAAACGTCTACAACAAATACGAAGCGTCGTGAAGCAACGGCCGTGAAAAAAAAAATGAAATGATCGGCGGATGATGGAGGAGTAAAGGACGATGAATGTTTCGATGGAAAGGAAGAGATTGTGAAATACATTAACGATACGCGATGGATGGATGATCTTCTCGCGTGGATTTGAGAAAATCGAAGAGGAGAGAAAAGGAGAAGTGGAACGAAGAATGGAAAAAGAGAGAGAGAGAAAGAGAGAAAGAGATTTGAGATTGCAGATCGGTGAAGGATGAAGGCCAGTTCTGTGGCCGATGCCTAAGGCCAGGCATCGGGATGTCTATCTAAATGTCCTTCGAAAATTCGATTTTTTTTTTTTTTGAAAAAGAAAGAAAATTCTTTGAGAATTCTCCATTTGAAAATTTTATTCCATATCGTAATTGTAAATTTTAATTATAATTTTGAAAATTTAAAAATACTACTTTTATTGAGTTTTCTTTTAAGAAAAATATAATTATTAGAATAATTTTTAGAAATTCAAAAAGTTAATATATTCCATTCGATATTTTATTTTAAATTTCGAAATTGAGAAATATATATAATTCGATTGAAAAATATTCGAAGGATTTCTAAATTGATAGACACTCATAATTTACACAGTGGTGACAGATATGAGTGATATATACATCGTAAAAGTGTGTCATTTATAGCGACATGCTCGTCAACTAAAAGACCAATGCAGCTACGTTAAAAAGAAGCATTGGAGGACATAAAGTAAAATAAATTCGTGAATAATCATAAGGGTAAAACGGGAAGTGACTCAACGAAAGAAAAATATCAGGGTCGTCTATACAGTGGTGAATTGGTTTGTAATATTAATCTAAATCGTTTCCTACTTAACCGTAGTCTGGACCGTAATTAACGCGATTAACATTGGCTCAAGGACCGTGTCTGATAACCGTTTAAAAATCAGATATACACCCCCGCTCAAAAATCTTGAGGAACAGTTCACACCAAATTCAACTCTGAAGAGACAATGAATCAAGTATTAAAAAGTATAAAGAAATATTATTTGATTCGATAATTTATGATATGGAAAAATAATAAAGGATCGAAATTGATATATATCGAAATGAAAAAGAAATTTTTATTAAAATTATATTTGAGCGAGACTGTATTTATAATCATGATTTTTGTTATCAATTATATAATTAAAATTAAGCGTTTTATTTATTCAATAAAATTTATTCAATAAAAACTGTTGAAATAATATACACCGCGGTTTTATTCTTAAATTTAATAACCATATTATATTTTGAATTAAAAAACGAAAATTGAAGGGAAACGTCCGCATTTAGTTCGTAAAGTTTCACAATTTAGTATGGATCAACGTCATAAGGCAAGGAGTTAACGATGCAATCGTATCGTCGTTGAAAGAACTTTTAAAAAAGAAGGCGAACGAAACACTGTTTAAAAATTTCGCCACTTTTAATGGTTAAACGTCATATCGATAGGAGAAACGTTGGTCGTCAAATTTTCAGTGCAGTATTCGAGTCACGAATATCTCGAATGGTAATTAATAAATTTTACATGATTTTACATGAGTTTGTATTAAAACGTCGATTATCCTGATAAATTGATGAATAATTCATTTTAACAATTTAATAATTGTAATTATCGTTTGATATATGCATAAATGAGATTTTAATTGTGATAAATTTTACATTATTTTATAATGTATATATAATGGAAAACAAAAATGGATTCGATTTGGAGTTGGACTCTAAGGATCTTTGAAAAAAATCGATCAACTATAACAGAGTAGAAATAATTTAAAAATATATTTAATTGTGAATTGAATTATACGATAATTCCAGATGGCAGAAAATAATAATTTTCTTAGATTTTTTTTTTTAAAGTTATTGGAATTCTGCAGTTGAATAATCAAAATTGAGAAAGGTCACTAAATTGCGTAATCAGCGTTTTGTAATTTCATCGAAGTTCTTGCATATTATATACCACATTAGACTGTATTGGATTACATAATAGTAACATGGTGTCATTTAGAGATTTTATTGGGCGGGACATATAAACTTCAAACAAACGACGATTGTACCCTTCTTGGTTTAAAATGACGTGACATTTATACATTCTATGGACTTTCCTGCAACGAAACAGAAAGTTTCTTACATGAATTGAAACAATAATTCGAAATAAACGAATATTATCTAGGGAATAATTTAGGGATAACTAGATTTCAGAATTTTGCAATAATTTTCCTGAGAAAAACTTCACAATGATTTTGAAAAAGATTAGATTAACGATGTAACAATTAATTTTCTTCTATATCCTCTCTATTTCAAAAAAAAAATTATTTGTCACATTTTACATATCAATTATATTTCCAAAAATCAATCTTAATACAAACATTAACTAATATAAATATTACTACAATCCAAACGTTAAACAAAATTTATATATAAATATCTCAAGTTTCTCAAACGCTTGAAATGAAAGAATAAAAATTTAACATCACAGTTCCCTCCAATTAAATATCTTCCACTGTTTGTACCATTTTCCCTCCGTGTACCCACGATCGTAATATACCGACATACCATGTGGAATAAACGCAACGTCGAGCAACAAAATAGAATTCGCTGAACGGTATATGGAACGAGTTACACAGCTCCCAAGATTTCTCTGATTTTATGGCAACGGCACGCGGCTGTCTACCGCGTGTCTATGTAGGTGCAAAACAGTGAAAGGTTTTTCAAGGCAGGAAAGTAAGTGACACCCACACGCAGCCGTTGCCGATGTAAAAAGGCAAGGCCGTTCGCGCGTAGAAAAGTTCACTGTATTATTGCGAAACCCATATCTCCGTTGCACCAACAATGACGCCTAATGGGATAAAGGATGTATCAGGCGGATGGAGACTTATCCCAAGGCTTATTCCCTACCCGCTGGGCCAATTAGGCATCGATAACGCGAATACGAGAAGAATATTGCTTTCAATGCAATCTATTGAACGAGACGGAGCAATAAACTTTTATTCGTAATGGATTAGAAATTAGAATAATGATAAGTGTGCAGGAGTGTTCAATATTTTTATATTGGATATATTTATTTATTAAATCGAATAACATGATTAAAATTTTTTATTTTTTTCAATTAATTTAAGGCAAGTGCTTTTTGATATTTATTCAAATTATTTTTATAGCATATACTTTTAATACACCTTTTTATCCGTGTTTAAAAATTATTTAGATTACATTATTAGATAAACTACAAGTACTGCTTTAATACATTCTTGAACGTGCAATATATCAATTATGTATATTTAAAATAATTAAATTTGTAATTGAAAATTTAATATTGAATTTTCATTTCAGTTTCGATCAAGTCGATTAATTAATATTTTGACAATTATAAATTATTGTACAAAAAGAGTATTATCCAAAAACTTGCAGACAGTGTATAATAAATATTACTTCCAAATCATATGATCCTATAAAGAATTAAAACTAAAAAAAAGGAAAAAAAAAAAAAATGCAAAAATTCTCGTGAACGTCGCGAGAAATTCCTCGGCTGCAACTTCGTGTTCGAACACGCACAACTTTCTGCGGTTTAATTCCAAGTAAATCCGCTACCTTCGAGACCGCATCTCGCTTGCAATTCTAATGCAGTCGTTAACCGGCATCCGTTTAAACGGAGAAATCTCTCCCGCGTGGCCACTCGAAATGAAAAAGAAAAAAGAAAAAAGAAAAAAAAAAAAAAAAAAAAAAATCAGCATTCTCACGGCGGTAAAGCAACGGGCGTTTAATTAATCCGTCGACGACTTGACCGAATTTTTTTTCTTTCTTTTTTTTCTTTTTTTTTTTTTTTTTCTTTTCTTTTCTTTTCAGTGGCGCGATGCGGATCATCCTAGAAACCGCAGAACCGTATAGCATTCAGTGCGTGAAAGAGAAGCGAGAAAATGCGTTGAACATCGTCGACGGTCGTTCGAGTGTGGCTCGTTGTGGCTCGAGGAAAATCGTCGGATACCACGATTGAAAATCGAAGTGGGTGGTGGTAGAGTGGGAAAATGGGGGACGAGAAGAAGAGAGGAAAAATAGAAGGGTGATGGAAGTTGCGTATACGTGTGCAGCACGTATTAGGTCATCTTATAAATAAATGTTCTTTCGAAGAGAATTTAATTTTTTTTTTTTAATAAATAGTTATAATACAAATGATTTTTATAAATGTTTCGTTTACAAAATATTTAAAAAATATATTTTTATTTTTCGAATAAAAATATTATATAAATGTTAATTTATATCAATTTTTAAATACTATGCTATTTAAGAAGTTTTGCATTGAATGAAATAATGATGCTAGTTTATATTGACGGTAGATCGAACACAATGGACGTATTAAAATATTTATTCTTTTCTATCCATTGCTTTCTTTGCAACACATGCAACACATTGGAAAGGAATTTTTCCGCTTCGGTTCATATATCTTTCAAGATCACGTGTATCTATTATCTTCAATTCTTCCTTATAAATCGATAAATTTTATTACAACTGGACTTTCAAGATTAATT